AGGGTTTATATAGGGTTTAGGGTGTAGGGTTTAGGGTGTAGCTTAGGGTTTAGGGTTTATATAGGGTTTAGGGTGTAGGGTTTAGGGTTTAGGGTTTAGGGCCCCTCTGCGGATTTGGATTGCGGCGCACTATAGGGCTTAAGCTCTGAGGGTTTTTTTCGACTTGGAGTTTGCCTCTTGGCCAGCGCATTGTGCCATGGCATCCGGAAGCCCGACCGCCTCAACACCACAAAAACACCGCTGAAAAGATACGACATGTGTCGATCCCTTCAACCCTACTTCAAGACAGATTCCGTAGTGTAGGAGGGTAGGTAAACTGGGCTCTTCGGAAGTCTCCGAGCTTCGGACCACCCAGGCTCGGCACTCCTGCATGGGGCTTCTCTGAGCAGGTCGCCCAGAAAGGGAGGGCTTGTGCAAGGGTCAGAGAAGTGAGCCGGGTACCGCAAGGTTACGATAAGGGGTTACACGAGTTCGTGTCGGGTTTCTCAAAATCGAACCGCCTAGGGTTTACTGCTTAGGGTTGCAGGTTCGACTTGCTTCGTCCTCGTGGCATTGGCGCAGAAGCCCTTGCCTCACAGCTTGAGAGGGTGGCAGTCTTTGCAAAGCTTCAGGGTGTCGGAGGCAGATTCGCGGCTTAGTCGAGTTTGAGCTTCACGGTGTTGCAGTTCTCACGCAGGAAACGTGGGTGCAATATTTTTTTGCGAAGGAGCCGTGGCCGACGGAGCTTAGGCTTTCGGCAAACGACACATCAAACTGTATGCTGAAAGGCCTGGGCCTTGATGAAACTTAGGAAGTTTTCCATCAAAATTTGGATAAATTCGAGCAAGTGGAAAACCCGATCTGCGCGCGGGCAACACATCTGTGAGGCTCGACGTCTGTGTGGCGATCTCAACAAGAGGCGTGCATCAAGCACAGAGCGAGCCCGTCTGGAAATGGGACTCCTGTGCTTTGTGACGGCGACGCATCCCATTCACCACTCCGAACTCTTCCAGCTTCCAGCCTCCGACACTCTGCACTTGTGCGCCTTTCAGAAACCCGGATGCTTTATAATCCACAAGCCTAGCACACACAAGAAACTTACACCACAGAACCTGAGCCGGCAGGCCCTCACCAAGTGTCACAAACCACCGCGGCGAGAAATGCCCCAATCACTCAAAGAACCTACTAACTCCTTATTATTACCACAAAACCGGAACTGCCCCTAAAGACTGCCCCAACAAAAACCCCAAACACCTCCAGGCAAAACTGAAGAGCTCTGGTTCTCTGGGCCGCAGACTCAGCTCGGGCCCGAAGCCGGGGAAGAGGACCTCCAAGGCGAAGTCGCAGTCGGCCTCAAGACTAGGGTTTAGGGTTTAGGGTTTAGGGTTTAGGGTTTAGGGTTTAGGGTTTAGGGTTTAGGGTCGGGACTCGTCGGGACTCGTCGGAGCTCGGGCCCCGCCACGTCGCTGTCTTCTCTCCTTTCTTCTCTCTTGCTACAGTCTTCGGCCCTCAAATCGTTCTTACTGTAGGTTCTGTTTGGCGTCAGGCGCGTTGTTGTTTCAATTTGCTCCTGTGAAAGAGGAGCGCTGTTGGGGCATATTTGGGTTTGAAGGGGCTACTGAAGGGGAATGAGAAGAAGCTTTGCCGAATGTGGTGCAAGTGATGGGATTTGGGTGCTTTTTTATTGCAGTTGTCGTGGGTTGTCGTTGATAGCCATGCATAGTAACCCCGGGCCCAGAGACAGAGATCAGTAGTTCCACATGTTTCCTTTCGAGGATAAACTTGCCATTCTATATAAATTCCCCGACACAAACTGGCAGGCAGCGTGTGCGTCGCTACGTAGATACTCGTTCTATTTCGCCACCTTTGGCGATTTCTTAACTTAAGCAGACTTCATGCAGAACTCTAAGCTCGTCCAGCGCCCCCTGAAGCCCTCGACCCTAAGCCCGGCAATCCTGGACCCCAAACACCATGAGCCACAGGCAGAAAGTTCTCGTCCAGGGCCCCGAGGCCCCGACGTGAATGAGGCCCCGGAACTCCTTGAAGTGCGTCACATCGTCCGGCACGTGAGCGGGCCGCGGGACCGCGAGCTCCTCCAATGTGATGATGATGATGATGATGATGATGGTGAGCTGATGGTGACGAAGGGCCCTTGCGGTTGAGAGTTGGGCAAGATGTTCAGTGTTGAAGGTTCGAAGATGCTTAGGCTGCAGAGAGGTTCATGTCCAATCCGACCGGAAGCAAGATGCAATCCCTACCCCCGCCACACCGTCCTTGGTCCGAATTGGCAGACTCAAGTGCTGAACCCAACATGACCCAAATCCTGTAGCTAGCCACTGAATGAGAGTGCCCTTCGCTAACTAAGTTGAAAGTGAGCGGAACACTCTTCTGCCTTTCATGCAGATACTCCGCCGATGATACTCCTGTATCTGGTGCCCCAGTTTGTCTTTCAATTTAAGCCGCAACGTTTAACCCCGCAACGCCCTGGAGCACCAATACCCGTGACAGCCCTACAATTGTTTGAACTCCTAAAGCCGGTGTAAAATCTCTCCTCGAGCTCTAAATTTCCGAAAGGCCTTATGGCCTAAAATTTAAACCCGAATAGACCCGGCAGCACTCTGTCTTTGCACCTGCCTCGCTTCTTCGGGTGCAATTGTTGGGCAGCGGCGGGTGCGGACCCTCCTGGAAAATCAGGGTACTGTAGCGGCCTTAACAACGAGAGCAGGGGAGTCGTCTTACGTTTGGGGCGTGGGGGCGTAGGTCAGCGACACTTCGCGCGGCAAGCTGTCGACGGCACGTGGCAGGGTGACCACGGTGACCACAACACTTCCACTACCGGATCCTGAAGAATCAAGGCACTCTCATACACCTCGCAACCAGTTCCTAAACTCTAAACTCTAGGCCCTATAAATCTTTAAACAGAAAGTCAAGTGCCTTCCCAGGCTGCCCTGCAAGCGCCATGAGCTGATCAGTGTGAGCCTGGCTTGTTCAGGCTTTCGGGTTCTGTGGCTCTGGTTAAGTCTCTGTGTGTGTGTGTGTGTGTGGAGTGGAGTTTGGGGTTTCTCGAGTCCTGGGCAGCGAGTTTCAGAAGGTGCACTAGTTTTTTTAGTGCTTGGCTTGATCAAGATGCTTCGGGTTGTGGGGCTGTTTGTGGACCAGGGTCGAAAGTTTTCAGAGTGTAGGGCTTGGGTTTACCGATTCCTTGACTGGTTGGTTGCTAGCAGACACGGCAAAGGACCACAATCCTAAGCCTTTGGGCAGATTTGCATCAACCTCGCCAGATAAGCCAAGACATGAGAGCAATCAGAGTGATTGTAATTGACATGGGAGCGAAGATCGTAGAAAGCATACCCATCGCGCTGGTCGTGATGCAGCTAGCACTTTCGAGCCGGGAGCTGCAAGAAACCCGTGACACTCTCAGAATTGTCCCTTCTTTCCCCCAGCAAGGGATTCGAAAGTGATATATTAAAGCTGAAAACGCAACTCCAAGCACACATTGCAGGAAGGCCTGGCGTTCCCGGAAGTCGGCGCGGATGTCCGCACGCCTCTCCTGAGCCGTTCAGGCTACCGCCTTCGGGGCCCGAACCCCCAGAAACTCGCGAACACCCCAAGCTTCAGAAGCTCGAAGCCCTCGAACCCCTGTTGATCCGCCCCTGCAAACACCTATGAAAGCCCATGAAACCCAGGGGGGAGGCCCCGGAGACCACAAGGTGCCTTCGAGTCCTGAACACTGACCACGCTTTAGCCCAGGGTCTTACCAGCGGAGTTTGGTCTATGTTTCACAGGATTTGGGCGGTATGTCAACAGGATTCAGAGGTTGCCAAGGCTTTTTTTATGCATCAGATGGGGAAAGGAAGACGAGGGCATCCTAAACCCGAGAGTCGGTCCTTCTGATACTGCTTGTAGGCCATCTTCCACGTCTCTTCGCCCTGAATGCGCGAGACGATCTGGCGGATGGCCTCCAAGAGTGGCAGCTTCAGCTTGTCAGTCTTGCAAGGCTTGTGAGCATAGGGCCCTCAAGGCGTGCTTTCAATTCAGAGGGCCGCATGTCTCTTGGTAGGGTTACGGTATACTACAAAAGATCGCAACCCCTGTGCTGGCAATGAAGCTTTGGGTCCAATGCTTCATTCTCGCGAGCATACAAACCTTATCCAGCAATGGCTTCGGCGATACCTTCGGAGCTCGTTTCCTGCTTCCTTGGGCCCGGAAGTTCGCCGAGGGCTCTGGGAGGAGCTTGGTGAGATGCTAGAGGAGTCGGGCTTCAGTTTCACATCTTAGGGATGGCAGCAACGTACTCCAGATATTGCAAGGTTTAGGTTTCGAGATTTTATGAAACGTCTGGTGAAAGCCCAGAGGTCTGAAGGACTATACAACGATATGTGGCAACGCATTCATTTAAACTTACCCTTTTTGTGTCTTCCAGCCACTTCGGCACATCTGCCTGCGCACATCCAGATCCAAAACTTCCCCCCTGATCAGAAATCAGTGGAGACAGTGGAAAGACGTCGTCCTGTAACGGGCCATTGACGACGATGTATCAGCAAGTCTGTACTTTGGTGTTGTCGCAACATGAGCGGAGTTCGCTCAGCTCAAGCTGCAGAACTAGAAGGAAGGCCCAAACACCTCGAGGAATGTTGGAGCAAGTGCACGAGCGGAATTCACACCTTGAAACAAACGCATTCAACTCAAATGGCAAGACGGTCTCGACAGCAAACCACATAAGGTCTCAACAGCTCGAGGCGTCGGAGTTCGGGTTGGGATTAAATGCCATCTTCCGCTTAGGGAGACGAAGAAAACCAAGGGTCTAAGGGGCCCAAACAGGCGCGTGGACGTAAAGATTGTAGATTGGTGCCTCTTTCGATGGGGGGATCCCAGAAATCCTCCTTTGCGAGAACAGAATTAGTCTTGTCACAACGGTCACACACTACAATCTCTAGAATGGTTCCCACCATGAGCTGCATTGCTCACTAGGCTGATCACAAGACCTTCTCACCAGCGCGCGCCGTCGCCGTGATACCGGGTCACCGAGACAGCTCGATGGGCAAGTCTGAAAGTTCCTCCTCCGCGGTATTGTTCAAAAGGCCAACAGCAAGCGCTGCATACCTGGCGAGTTCGGCGGCGGCCTCCTTGTAGACCTTAGTAACTTAGTAACTTACACGCCGCAATCACAAGCACTGGCTCTGCCCCTCTCTCTCTCTATCTTATTCCCATTCTCGAGACGTGCCTGAGCCAGCTCACACACCCTGTCCCGGCTTAGGCAGAGCATGTCGGCCCCGGAGTCAGCACGGGCTTGTCCCACATAGCTCCAAGTCGTCCAAAGGCAGTGCTCGCAAAGCCAATCGCATTCCGAGAGGCTTGATGCCGACACCTCACCAGGCTCACCTGCCGATCCGGGCACTATCTGAGCCCAAGAAGTGGTGGAGATGGAGCCTGTCACTGGAGGTAGAAGAGCTTTGCTGTAGGTGATGATGCCACGCACCACAAAAAGCAGGCTCTCACATTGCAGTCCAGGTTGAAAAAGCGTCTCTTGCGCCATGACGGGCCACTCCCTAAAGCATCGGACGCACAGCTCACGCTGGAAAGCCGAGTACTTGCTACAAAGGCTGGGCAGCAAGATATGCCCGCTGATGATGGGAGTGAAGGCCTCGCGGCACAATTCCTCGTAGAGGAAGTGAGGTAAGGACCCTGCGAGCTCTTCTTTGCTCGGCGGCACCACCCTTGACATGTGCCGGCGCGCGTAGCTGCTGAGTTGCTGCTCCAGGCTCTGCGGCACAGGGTGCGCCTGCAGCAAACCCCTATCTGAAGCCCTCAGCTTTCTCAGCACATGTGAATGTATCTTAACATAACACGCGATAATACCAGAGAAGATATAAGCTCAAAAAGGAGCTCCGCAAACCCTCAGCTAGAGCCTAAACTACCCAAGCTGTCTCCTCGAGAAAATCGCAGAGCTTGTCCTCCGCCTCCTTCCTCATCCGCTTCAATCGACGCAGGTCCGAGATGTCGTTGGTGACCTCAAGGGCGCTCGCTCGTTAGGGCCAGCAGAATCCTGTGTGACAAGCAAGATCGCAAACAGCTTCTGCAGTCGAGCTGCCACCGATGTAAAGATGGACGCAAAGAGGACACCAAGCGCAGTGCTGAGAACCGCGAGTAGCCGCTCTGCCTGGGTCTGCAGCTCCATGTTCTCTGTGATGCGTGACGGCGGCAGCCTTGACAAGGCCTGCAAAGCAGCCGTCCGCAACCTACACCATCACCATGAACACTGAGCCCGACCCCCGAAATAAAGTTAAGCCCTAAGCCTGAATCTGCAAACAGGAGGCCCACTCCATGCTTCGGACATATTGCCCATGCCATGGGAGACGAGCCAAGTCAGCATCTTCAGTCCATCCACCAGTTTGTGAGCCAATGCCGAACCATGCACATGTCAAGCAATGCAAACAAACCAGAGACATCAGCCCCATCCAAGATATATTCCAGGTGGCACGCATTTCCCGGCTTGTCTTTCGGAGTGCGTTGTGCATAAAGGCAGCTACCCCTGAATGCTCGTAGTAGTACGGGAGGGTGCAGAGCCGCAAGAGCTGCAAGGCAGAGACGCTGCCCCTGGCAAGCCGAGCTGAGGGGGAAGTGGAGCTCCACGACGCAAGGCCCACTCTCCCGACCACCAGGAAGACCTACGGCCGGCTTGGGGTTCAGGGGGTTTCCAGGGTTTATAAAGATCAACGAACAGTGAACAGGCCTCCAAAATCCACGTGGCAAGTCGCTTCCTCGACCTCTCCACGAGCTTCCGGGCTTCGACGACTAGAAGAAGCGACCAAAACGCGATGGTGATGCCGTCAAGGACACCGTGTTCCAGGCCGAAAGCATGAACGGGAAGCACCATGAGGTCCAGGAACATGAAGACCACGCTAAGGAAGGACATGAGCTTAGCACACCTGGCCCGAGCTCCCCTCTTCCCTGGTCTCAACGGTGGATCCAGGAGGCGGCGGGTGATTGTGCTCCGCCTCTTTGGCGAACGCGTGGCAGCGGCGGCGGAGATCTTCTGCCACTCCGGGTGCATCTCGAAGCGCTCCTTGCAAACATCGTCGTTTGCGTCGCTCTCGTCCTCCGGCACGAAGTTGGAAGACATAGCTTGGGAGAAGTCCTGCATCTTGCGCAGGGCTATGTTGAAGGACGAAGTCTGCCTTGGAACTTCGCGAGATGACTTGGAAGAGCTCCGCGGTGCCGAAGCACAAGAGGCGAAGTTCACGGAGCGAGGTGCCGGCGAAGGCAAAGCCGGGGGTGCACCTTCCAAAACGCCCCCCAAATAATAAACCTATAACTACCAGGGGTTTAGGGTTTCTCAAGTTCCTCCTAGAGCTCCAAGCGTTTCGCTGCCTTTTTGGGGGCCCTTGCCTTCTGGGACTGGCACTGGCTCTCTCTCCTCAAAGACATCATTCCCAGCAGCCTGCAGTCTCGCACACGGTTCCAATGAGAGTTCTAGACCTTACTGAGTCGAGAGGCCGATGGTCTTTGGGACTGCATAATCTTCATGTTGCGGAGCAAACGGCCCCTCACGATCTATAGAAGATCGACCTCACTTTTAGGGTAAGGGATTTCATAATCAGCGGTCTACATTTCAACGAAAACCGACTCAGGACCAGCAGCAGACTGACAAATCGCGGGCTTTGTGAAACTACTGCCGCGATTCCGACGTTGCCCTGAGAGACGTCCATTACAGACAACACGTCGTCAATCAAGACTTTATACCGAACCCCGTTATACAGTGGTCTTCATACTTAGAATACGTAAGGTTTTCGGGTATATGACACCATGCTTGTAACGGGACCTTTTGGGAATACCCTGAAGCTTCGAAGTTCTTGCAGCAATTGTTCTGGAGATTCCACCATGCCCCCACACTTGGGTCGAAGGCTTCGCACTCCACCAGAGACTACCGAACGAAACGAACATTGCGCCGTCTCCGCATGGCGACCGATCAAGAATCGAGAGCGACGAAAACAGTCGCATCTGTGCCAAAATCATTTTGTGCCTTAAACTCAGGTTGCAACGTCCGGATCGTAAAATTCACAGCTCAAGAACGAGCATGCGGGCACAAAATATCACAAAAGTGCTTCATCATGCGAACCTGTCCACTCCTGTATAAAGCACGTTGATGGGCTTCGGGCCTACACCATGAACATACAAGTTGTTCCTACAGCAGATGTAGTAGTTGCAGCAGCAGCAGCAGCAGCACGAGTCGAAGTGGGGAGTAGGAATAAGAGAAGCGTGAGCATTAGCATAAGTATCGGTATTAGTACTGGCACTACTCTTTTTGCTATTATTACTAGTTGCAGTAATGGTGGTAGTAGTAGTAGT